TTAGGTAAGCAGTAAATGCCGTTCCTCTGTCGGCGATGAGGACCTCCGCGGCGCCGTGATGTAGGACGATATTTTCGACGAAGAACTTGGCTACCTTGGATGCGCTGCCTTTGGGCAGGGCTTTTGTCTCGGCATAGCGGGTGAGGTAGTCGGTAGCTACCACAATCCACTTGTTTGCGAAAGCCGATGTCGGGAACGGCCCCAGTAGGTTCATACAAATTTGCTGTAACGGTCGGCGAGGTGGTTCAATTGGCTGCAGAAGTCCCGCTGGCCTTGTCGGCGGTGGCTTGCGTCGCTGACTGTCCCGGCATGTCCTCACATAACGAGTGACGTTGGTGGTAAGACGTGGCCAGTAGTGCCTTTCTTGTATCCTCGCGAGCGTGCGGGGAACACAGAGGTGCCCTGCCGTCTGATCGTCGTGCAAGGCCTGCAGGAGTTTTGGCCGCAGAGCTGAAGGCACCACATGGAGGTACGCACTTGGCTCGAAACGGTGAAAAGTTTTTTTGGAGAAGACCGTTTCGCAGGAACAATGCCGCAAGGGCGCGCTTGAATACCTTCGGGACTTAAACGGTCCTGTTTTCGAGGTATTCTATTGGGGCCTTAAGTTCCGGGTCGGCCCGTTGTCGTTCAGCGAAGTCGTCGGCAGTTATCGTTCCCAAGAAGTACTCTTCATCAGGGTCGTCAGGCGGTGGTTGGTCGACAGGCGCACGAGAGAGACAGTCGGCGTCGGAGTGTTTTTTGCCAGACTTGGAAACGACGGTAATGTCATATTCTTGAAGTCTCAGGCTCCATCGTGCGAGGAGACCTGAAGGGCCTTTCAAAGTGGCTAGCCAACACAAGGCGTGGTGGTCACTCACAACTTTGAAGGGCCTGCCGTAGGGATAGGGGCGAAATTTCGATGTAGCCTAGATGATAGCGATCAGCTGGCATAAGTAATAACCCTTTCAAGTCCGTCAGCCCTCTGCACAAGAACGGCGCCGAGACCCACGCTGCTTGCGCCAGTGTGTATTTCTGTCTCGGCGAATTCGTCGAAATGGGCAAGTGACGGAGGCGTCTAGAGGCGATGTTTGAGCTCCTGGAAAGCGTGTTCCTGCAGTGTTTCCCAGTTGAACTCTACGTTGGCCTTGGTAAGGTTAGTGAGTGGATTGGCAATGCGGGCAAAGTTTTTCACGAACCACCTATAGTAGGCGCACAGGCCCAGGAATTGGCGCACCACCTTCTTGTCAGTGGGCTACGGGAAGTCGGCAATGGGAGCTGTTTTCCGTGGATCGGGACGAACTCCAGACTTGCTTATCACGAGCCCCAGGAACAAGAGCTCCTCCTGTGCAAATCTGCACTTTTCTGGCTTCAAAGCGAGTCCGGACGTCTTAATGGCTTTAAGTACAGCTTCAAGGCGCGGAAGATGCCCGTCAAAACTCAAGGAAAACACGATGACGTCGTCCAAGTACACAAGGCAAGTCTGCCACTTCAATCCTGCCAGTACCGTATCCATAACGCATTGAAAAGTCGCAGGCAGTGTGCAAAGACCGAAGGGCATCACCTTAAACTTAAGAGGCCGTCCGGTCTTATAAACGCCATTTTCTCTCAGTCTTTTTCATTGTCTTCGATTTGCCAATAGCCAGTCTTGAGGTCCATTGATGAAAAATACTTGGCATCATGAAGCCGATCAAGTGCGTGGTCTATTCGTGGAAGAGGATACACGTCCTTGTGATTTTGTTCAGGCGGCGATAATCGACGCAGAAAAGTAGGGTCCCACCCTTTTTCTTCACTAACACCACGGGGGACGCCCATTGACTGTTGGACGGCTGGATGATGTCATCCCGCAGCATTTCATCAATTTGTCTCTTCATGGCCTCGCGTTCCCTCGTCGAAACCCTGTACGGACTCTGACGGAGAGGTCTGGCATTTTCTTCGGTTATGATGCGATGTTTCGTGATTGTGGTCTGCCGAATTTTCGATGCCGAGGAAAAGGAATCTTCGTATTGCAGGAGCAGGGCCTTGAGCTGTTCTTGCTTATGATTCAAAAGTCTGGGATTGATGCTGAAAGCTGTGGGTCGGGTTTAGTTCCTCTGAGCACGTTCCGCAGAATCGGCGAGAGCGAAAGCACTGGTGGCTTCCACAATTTCTTCGATGTATGCGAACATCGTTCTTTTGTTCACATGTTTGTACTCATTGCTGAAATTCGTGAGCATAACCGTTGCTTTGCCTCCCCGCAGCTCTGCAATTCCTCTTGCAACACAAATATTTCAAGTGACCAACAGATGCCGACTGCTTTCAACGACGCCTTTCAAGTCAGGTGATTTAGGAGCGCCGACTGGAATAATGACGCTGGAGCGAGGCGGAATGGTGACTTGTTCTGCCAGGACATTCAAGGCATGGTTTCCTGACGGCGTGCACAGCGGTAGTGCTTCTTCTTTGGATAACGTTATCGACTTTGTTCTTGGGTTGATTACAGCACCATGGAGGCATAAGAAGTCCATGCCAAGGATGACATCTCTCGAGCAACGCTGTAGGACTACGAAGTCTGTAGGATAAATACGGCCATTAATAGTGACTCTCGCTGTGCAGATTCCTGCAGGCATTTTGAGATTATCTCCGGCTGTGCGGATTTCAGGGCCTTCCCAAGCTGTCCTAACTTTCTTCAACTTCCAGTGAACGACCCACTAATGACGGAATAGTCGGCTCCAGTATCGATGAGAGCGGTCACACTGTGGCCGTCGATAAGAACGTTGAGGTCGCTAGTTCACCGTCTCGCGTTGCAGTTAGGCCGTGGCGTCGGGTCACGGCTTCGTCTGCTTGTTCCGCTGCTTCTATGTTGCATCGTCAGCTCACCTTCGGTGAGTGAGGTTTCGCCGGCAAGACTTTGCCTGATTGGCGTGGTGTTCGAAAAGCTCCGTCGCGGCGGCGGCGGCATCATCAGAGGATCTTCGGTAGTTCGTTGCACAGCAACCGCACCTCCATCAGTTGCTGCCCTTAGTGTCCCGGATACAGGCTAGGAGACCGGCCCCGCGTTGGGCCAGAGTACTGCGGGTGGTGCAGTGACATGCGGCGGCTGGGCGATGGCGAATGGGAAGGACTTCATGGTGTCCACTGAGTTCCTGTCAGGTAGTGAGCAATGTCGCGTGGCCGTTCCCTTGGCTGCGGGCGTGGTGCATTGAAGGGGAAACCACACAGTCCCATCTGTTGGTACTGGCAACGGCGGTATGTGTGCCCGACCTCGCCGCAGTAGTAGCAGAGCAGGCGGTTGTCAGGTGCACGCCAAACGTCCGTTTTCCTCGGCGCACTGCGCTGGCCTGCTGGCGAACGGTAGGACGGCGGTGGGGGTGGTGGCGGCGGTAGCATCTGGCGACGAATGTGCGATGGGGCGGCGTTTTGGCGCACTGCAGCGGCATAGCTCATAGCTTCCGGCTCGGGCTGCGGTGCTTGGGGAATTCGAAGCGATTGCCGAACTTCTCACACAATGTCGGCGATCGAATCCACTTAAGGCTGCGCCAAAGGCAACATCTTGCGCAGCTCTTCCCGCACGATCGCTCGGATCGTTTCACGCAAGTCTTCGGAGTTGCTGGCTTGAGCAGCAGCGAAATTCTGGAGTCAGGCGACGATTATACTGTCTGGTGCGCATGTCCAGGGTCTTTTCGATAGTGGTCGCTACGGATACAAACTCTTGTACGGTGTTCAGTGGATTCCTCATTAGCCCCTTGAAGAGCTCCTGTTTGACCCCTCACATGAGGAAACGAACTTTCTTCTCCTCAAGCCTGTCTGGGTCAGCGTGACAGGATAGGCAGGTTATCTCTTCTGTGAAAATAGCAACATTTTTATTTGGCAACTGAATCCAGGTCTCTAGTAAAGCAGCGGCCCTCTCTTAGCGCGCGACGCTCGCGAACGTTTGCAGGAATGCGCCGCAGAAAACATCTCACGTTCGGAACGTGGACTCCGGATTCTCAATCCAGGTCCTTGCGGTGTCTTCCAAATAGAACACAGGACGGAGCTTTTCGTTATCGTCCCAGTGGTTGAGGGCTGTTTCTAGCCAGGTCTCCGGGTCTTTGAACGATAACCCATGGAAAATTGGTGGTTCCCTGGGTTGATGCATGACGATCGTGGGCTGGGAAGCTGCGGTTGTCATTGTCGCTGCAGTTGCGGTCATGGCCTTGGTCTTCCGCGCCTTGTCTTGTAGAAGCCCGTACTCCGGTGGTAGACCTTGCTGTCGGCGGCTTGTTCGTTGCTCCTGGTTGGGGTCGGTGTCTTCTACGCGACGTGGGCTGGGTTCACGGCTTGACGGGGGCGTTCGGTACATGAACGAAGCAGCACCTCTACCAGATGTCACGGGGTCGTGTCGTGGCCGAAGACAGGAGACATTATGTTGGGATTCAACTGTTTATTTGGGCGAACCTGTGCCCGGTAAACGGAAAGTTCGACTACAATAACAGTCTTGCACAGATAGCAGTGAATTGAGCGTCGGCCATCGATCAACTACTGACAATTGGCGAAGTGTGTCGGCATTTATACTCTTGCCAAAGAATGTTCTAGCGTTATCGCTGGCGTAGGTTCCAGAATAATCTATACAGTTTGCGGAGTGGGCGTGATCTTATCGAAATGATCTACTGCAGTCCCGAAGCTTCTCAAAAACTGCAGGCGCAGTTTGCGCCGAGAATTGTGTAGTGTATTGGGGCAATAACAAAGCTTGAGGAATGGAACGTAGCAATATAGCTCATGCTGTCATCTCTCGAGAAAAATGCCCTTACTGCTGAACCACTGATAACTTGTACACAAAGTTGGCACCATCTCAAAAATCGAGACCAAAGATGCTAATTTTAGGCTAGCTGGGTCATCAGTCGACCCACTCATACTCCGATCAAGTCACAAGTCTGATAGAGCTTGAAGATTTTCACGAGTAATAGCCCGAGCGAGTTTGGCCCAGGAAAAGTTTGGCAAGTGAGTGAACCTCGAGCTGAACATATAGTCACGGGGTCGTGACGTCGACGAACACAACAGTCGGCGTGTCAAAGAAGTAACTCTTTATTCGGCCAAGCTTATGGCTGCAAAATTGACCGTAAGATTACAAAGATACACACTGGCACTGATGGCAGCAAACGCAGTGTCCGCTGTCTATCAACTGAGAAGCCACCTCGGTTCCAGAATGATTTTTAATGTTCGCTTTGGGCGCATAATCTTAAGAAAATGAACTAGTACAGTCCTGAAGCTCTTCGAACACTGCCGGCGCTGAGCTCAATTTTTGCCGACCTATAGAACTGGCACCACTTTCTGGTGGGAAGATTTTGCAGTCGTACACAGACTTGACAAGCTCTATATGCTTCATTTTTTGTGCCTAAAAACTTCATGCGCTATACTCTCACATCAGGGGCAACACTGGAGGATAGCCAGACTTCTGGCAGAAGGTGCAATCAGTTCGAATTTTTCGTACCAGCCAGAAGAGATTTTTGTTTGCAAAGTGGTAAGGGAGCATCTTCTGAACCTTGCAAATAAACTAAACCCATTACATGGTTGTCAGTATACGGTTCGACCACTGAGCAATGTTTTCATTCTCCAGTATTTTGTTTTCAAGGCCACCCCAATGCGCTGTGCAGAGGCTCGCAAAAATGTTTAAAATGACAAAAACCTACCATGAGATGTACGAATCAATATTTTGCTCACCAAACTTCTTGAAAGCCTCCACAACGTGGCATTTGATGAGCTAACCCGGACAATAGACAAGTCGAGCAAAAAGCAACAAGTGCTACGATGCATTAGCTACACGGTAGTACTCAATCGTCGTTTTACAACAGCAAGTACTACACATTTAAAACACTTTATAAAGACATCTGTAACTGCCATTATTGGAAATGACTGTCACCAGAAATTTCCAGCGGTAAAAGCATTATTTACTTATAAAACTGGCATCTTCCTGTTTGGCTGTACATTTGAGAAGCTGCATTAAATCTCTTTAGAGGTGCAAAATAGTACACAAGTTTAACGCATTCGTTCAAATTTCTGAATCCCTATTCAAATTGTTTAATAGCCTCCATGTATAGAGCGGCAAACTAAGTTGACACGTCTCGAAAAGCATTAGAACTTCAGTTTTGGCAATGTTAAAACGAATCCACATACGTAGGCACAAGTTGACAAAGCAGGTTTCATGGTCCGGTGCCGGAGTACACTTTTCTTAGCGTGTTTCACATCAAATTTCTGCATTGCATGGTGACAAAACTCTTTATTAGGCACTTGAGACTTGGCCACATCACACATGAACAGAACATTTTACAAAGACAACACAAGGCTTTGAAAAATGACTTATGAATGAACAACAGGATGAATGGGGCTATGCCATGCGTATGTCACAACAGCTCGTGGCTGCACATGAATGTACTGCGGATGTACTATCACACATTCTGCAGGTATCTCTTGCCGTGACTACTAAAAATATGCTAGACGATGAATGACTGATGCTTGTCCCATCAAATGATGTTGCTTGTTAAAAAAAAACTTCCACATTATACGCCAGTGCATGTCGTCTGCTCGACAGAGCCTAGCTCCCATCGCCTGTCCAGGGTGCCAGGCACAGTCGCTGCTCAAGGCATCTTGGAAATCTGAGGAATAAACGACATGACACAATGAACACCAAGGAGGCATGCCTACTTCTCACATCAAAACTGTTTAACACTTATCGCATTATAGTCGTGTCATGTATTTAACTGTATCATATCAAAAATTGATCTCTGAACGTTTTTATGCACTTTTTTTTCAAGTAACACTGCCACTTTGTCAGATGATCAGTACGTTTCAGCATTACAGTATTGGCAGACCACTTTTATGGAAACTCTGAATGGCAAAAGAATGCAGCTATCACCTTTCCTCATACAACTGCACATAAAGTCAAGAAAAATTATTTGTAAGCCTGCGTTGAAGTTGGGTGATTCTGGGTAGAAAAATGAAGTAGATGAAGATACAGTAAAAGCTCATTAATTTGACACCCGTTTGAAATTTCGATGATTCGGATGGCTCTATTGGTTCCGGCCAAAGTGCATGTTAATCTATGGGACGAAACCTTCGTTAATTTGTCAGAATTCAGCTCTGCACCGCTTAACTTGGACAAATGCTGACAGCTGCTGTTACACAAAAGTGTGGTAAAGCAGCGCTGTCACCACTGGAGTGAAACCAAAACCTGAGTGGCATCCCTATCATTATCAACTAGACGGGGCGACTGCAGCGTCATCAAATGTCGGCATCTTCTTTCTCCTCCACTGCGCCTCTAACGCCATTTTTTCTTGTGTTGTCTTCCTGCGGAGTTCCCTTTTCTTTTTCTTCTTCTGTGACTGTAGCATGCCACCACCATAATGGACTGCAATGGCAACGCCGAAAATGCGGCAGAAGTATGAAGTGAAGAACTTTGCGACTAAAGTAGAAATTTTCGAAGCACTGAAGAGGGGCGAATCGCAACAGCACGCTATGACCAAGTACAACGTGAAGCGGAGCACGTTGGGAACGTACGTGAAAAATAAACAACAAATTCGACAAGCCTTCGAAAGCGAGAAGTTTCATGCCTCTAGAAAGCGGTTGCGAACCGCAGCTCATCCCCAGCTCGAAGAAGCTTTGCTCCGGTGGATTACTGAGTGTCGCAATGTGCATCTGCCTTTGAGCAGACCTCTCATCATGGCGCAAGGTTAGAAGTACGCTGCAATGCTGAACATTGAATCATTCAAAGAGTCGGAAAGGTGGTTTGCGAGGTTTCGAAAGAGACACGAACTTGTCTTCAGAAGTGCGTGCAGCGAAAAGGCCAGCGTTGACGAAAGCATGACCACAGAGTGTAGAAATGTAGTTGCCTGGAGCACATCGACGCTTATGAACCACGTGAAGTGTTCAATGCAGATGAAACTGCTCTATTTTTCAGAGCTCTGCCTTACAAGACAGTGACATTCAAAGGGAATGCATGCATTGGTGGCAAGAAGTGCAAGCAAAGGATAACTGTGCTTCTTGCCGCCAATATAACAGGCAGGGAGCGCTTGCCACTACTTGTCATCGAGAAGGCGCATAAACCACGCTGTTTTAAGAACATCAAAAGCCTTGCTGTCGAGTACACAGCGAACAGGAAAGCTTGGATGACCTCGGACATTTTTTGCAGCTGGCTGCGCCAGTTAGACCGGCACTACACGTCTAAGGACCGCAAGATAATTATGGTTGTTGACAACTGCAGTCCCCTTCACTGTACAGTCAAACTGAACAGCATCAAAGTAGTTTTTTTGCCGCCTAACACTACCTCTGCTCTTCAGTCGATGAACCAGGGTATCATTCACTACCCGAAGTCTAAGTACCGCAAAAACCTACTAGAGTGAATGATCCTATGCTCAGAAGCTGGAACATTGTATCAAGTGGACTTGCTCGGCGCACTGCAAATCATCGTCCACTGTGTAAAAACACTCCGCCGCATGTCATCGCCAACTGTTTTCAGCACAGCGGTTTTGAGAGGCCCGAGGATGCGGCAGTAGCTGACAATGGCATCATTGAGGTGTCAGCCGAGTCCACCGTCCATGACTGCCCGACCTTCGATGCTGTCCCTCCCACAGATATGACCCTTCAGGACTACACCACGATTGATCATGGTGTCGTCACGACTAGTCTCCTGACCTATGAAGACATTATTAATGATGTCACGGGCGCCCAGAAAGACCACGATTCCGACGAAGAGTCATGCGAGATGCAGCCGCGACCTCATCACATCTCATGGGAAGTCTCAGAGGCGCTTTTAGTATTAGAGGACGTTTGCCTGAATGCTCCCGACAGCTTGTGTGCTGTTGGCCATTTGGAACAGTTACGTAAGATTGTAACGCCGGCCGGAATATGCGTGAGAACGCAGGCGACAATCACCAAATACTTAAACAAATACAGGTATGCTTCTGCAGCTTGATTTCGATGTTTTTCCTGTTCATTCGTTAATTCCGCATTCAGTTAATTCGGACATTTTTTCCGGTCCGTGAAATTCGAATCAACCTTTTACTGTAAAAACTCACCACAAGTAGAATGCAAACCCACTACTTCAGCAAGTTTCAAGAGTTGGTAAATTCAAGGGTGTACAGTGTAATGGCCACAAAGGCACCGATGAGTAGAATCTTGCAAGTTAAGGGAGGAACACGGGTTGTGGAGACCAAAAATTGTGAAAACTTTTTATAGCGTCTTTGAAATCTACAGCTACTAGTGCACTTACATTGTGAATTTCATGCCTATAATATTATTTCAGCTGCTAAGACCCTTTATATGGTGCTTTATAGCTAAATCTGAGCCGAAATCGATGTTGAAATCGCACATTTTCCATGACGCCCCCCCTGCCCTTTCATGTGTGCCGGCGCGGCCTGCTTCGTCTTATTTGAGAGAGATGTCTTTCGCCTTCAAATTCCCGCCAGAATGGATCCAATTCAACCATTGGCAGCTTGTAAAATCAGCGGCAAGAAGAAGTATTTAGACCACCTTCTTATTCGCTACTACGCGCATGTTACTTGAGCTAGCCTCCCTATTGGTGGAGGCTCCTGGCTTCGTCTGCTCCGGGTATTTAGGCGCGCGTCTATACCGCCATTTTGCCTCAGTGTCAGCGGAAAAGTTTCATGATGTCAAATCCTGAGCGCGAATTCCGCACGCAGCACAAGTTTGGTGCGAAAAAGGTGCGAAGGACGCTAGTAGCGAATTTCAAGAAGTGCTCCGTGATACAGCATTGATTGATATGTGGGGTTTAACGTCCCAAAACTCCCATATGATTATGAGAGACGGCGTAGTGGAGGGCTCCGGAAATTTCGACCACCTGGGGGTCTTTAACCTGCACCCAAATCTGAGCACCCGGGCCTACAACATTTCCCCCTCTATCGGAAATGCAGCCGGGAATCGAACCCGCGACCTGTGGGTCAGCAGCCGAGTACCTTAGTCACTAGACCGCCGCAGCGGGGCTCCGTGATACAGCGAAACCCCCCGAGACGCTACACTCTCCGCGACCCATGACAAAGTCGTCGACGCTACCACGAGAGGCCTAGCTACCGCATCAGTTATCACGGAGCCTGTGCAAAGTCCGTCAGCCGCGGAGCCTTCGAGCAGCGGTCGCGTGCATCTAGATACTATCGGCAGCAATCTGACTTGGGAAAGGAGCGAGCTAAAGCCGAAGATAAGTTATTGGAGTTGTCGTCCGCTGCAGCGACGGAGCGGAAAGGCGCATTCGTGGTTGACTGTGCCGACGAAGCAGCTTGGCCGCCTGATGGAACCACGTTCACAATTATAGATTTGGACACAGTGAACAGCGCTTTGTTGGCATTTGCAAAGTGGAAGGCATGCAACGGAGAACTGCAGATTGTCCGCGACAACTGGAGATTCGGACTCGCCGTGAGGTTGCGTTTTGTGTGTTCGACCTGTGGGGAGACTGCGTCGTTGTGGAGCTCGCCGCGCGTACATAGCGATGAACGCATGAAACCTTCTGCTGTGAACGTTTTGGCCACGCATGCCATGCAGGCAAAGGGAACAGACAGACCGTGCTGAATGATGTGTTCTTGTTGATGGGCATCAGCCGTCGGGGTCTTTACACAATAACATGGCAACACTACGTGAAGACAAAGTTGGCACCCGCGGCCTATCGTGCTGCACGCAATTTGACAAGAGACTGCGCGCGGTCAGTTCGCAAACTTTACGCCAAACTTAATATGGGCCACATATCGCAGTGTCCTTTGATGGGTCATGAACGACTCGCGGTCATCCGTTGCATATCGGTCTCGGCACCATCATAGAATTGTTCAGCGAGCTGGTGCTTGACTTCGTTGTTTTGAGCACACCGCCTGCCTCGCAGCCTGCGGGCGGCCCGAGACCGCCCGAACAATTTCTTTCGCGCCGCTGGCGGACGACAGCGCGGCGCGCATGCTGTGCGGCCATCTTAAGTTAGACACAGGAAATTTTCGATGCGTTCTTGCTCTCTCTTTGCTTTTCTGTCCACTTCTCGCATGTTTCTGGATTTCGAATTGTTAGCGCACTCAGTTCTTGTCATCGGTGTTCTGAGCCACGTCGAACATATGCGTATTCCCGAAGGTCGGGCAAACACGCGTTATGCTCGCTAGGAGAAACAGCGGTGGAACGATAGCGCCGGTCTACGATGCGCACGCGCTCAAGTCGTTCAGTTACAGTAAGTTGCATCACAACAGAAATAGGTATAATTCACTACCTAACTGCTGTTTAGGTTGCAAATGAGTAAGCGTTATGTCCTGTGTTTCAGCTATGGAGAAAGCAGGCGGCATAGCAGACGCCACAGCGGATGCAGTCAGCATCAAGGGGGCAGATGGCCCAAGGTCGCTCGGGCTGGCTTGGGACTTTTAGATCACGTGCATGTGACGTAGCCACCTCTGAGCAGAGGCGTCCGCGGGCCGTCCGCGAGTGATCCGGGACTTGGTAAATCGATGAAGCTCATCGTTGGCCTTGAGAGGGCCGATGAAGCGGGGGAAGTGTGCCACTATGTCGATGGCGAAGAAAGCTGCCATCGTCAAGCTCATTAAAAATGGCTGATCACCGGCAGACGTCGCGAAAGAGTTCCAGGTTTCAGATTTCCAAACAGACTCTTTTGAACTATATGAAAAACAAGCAGAACATTTTGGAGGCAATGAAAAAGTCTACAGGATGTTGCCAGAAAAATATAAGCCAAGGCACCTACCCAAAGCTTGAGGAAGCCCTTAGGGTAAGGGTGAAGTCAACAGTCACCAGCAAGGGTCCCTTCTTCGGGAGCTACCTCAAACAGAAAGCTGATCGATATGTGGGGGTCAACGTCCCAAACCCACCATATGCTTATGAGAGACACCATAGCGGATGGCTCCGGAAATTTAAGCCACTTGGAATTCTTTAACATGCACCCAAATCTGAGCACACGGGCCTACAGCCTTTCCCCCTCCATCAATAATGCAGCTGCCGCAGCCGGGCTACCATCCCGCGACCTGTGGGTCAGTAGCAAAGTATATCTAAGCCACTAGACCACCACAGCGGGGCAGCGGAAAGCTGAGACGATGGCGCTTCAAATGAATATTGAAGGATTTAAGGTCAGTGACGGCTGGCTAAGACACCTCAAGAAGAGCTTGAATTTCAGTTTTAAAAAACTGTGCGGCGAAAATGCAGCTGTCGACCTTAACCGTTACGAACAACTACTCTGAAAAGCTGCAGTCCCTTTTACAGCAGTACTCGCCAGACAATACTTTCGACTGCAATGAGACCGGGCTTTTTTCAAGCTGATGCCAGTAAAGACTCTTGCCATTGCTGGTGAGCCTTGCCATGGTGGCAAACATAGTAAGGAGCAAGTTGCTGTACCAATTGGCAGCAATAAGTCAGGCACAGAAAAACCTCTGATGCTTGTCCTCGGCAAGCTGAAAGCTCAGAGGTGCTTCAAAGGTGGAAAGTCCCTGCCTGTTTTGCAAGAGGTGAAAAAGGTCTGGGTAACTCAGCACATTTTTGAAAGTCATGTGAAAAGACTAGATCGCAAATTTGTAGGCTTGTGCGAATAGTGAATTTTAAATTCGAAGCGAATTTGAAGTGAATAATGATTTGGTCAAATAATTTCTAATCGAATTCAAATAGTGTATATGACATATAAAGAAAAATGGGCATATTTATCATGACCTAACTAATGTGCACAATATTTTTCAAAATTCAAATAAGGCCTCTATGCAAATGCCCCCCCCCCCCCTCTCTTTTTTTTTTTTTTTCATTCAAAGTGAAAAGAACCAAGAAAAGAGGGATCTCATTCTCGGTATGATACAAGTGATAGCTTGTAAAATATGTAACATTTAAAATTCATTATACTTAGAGCATGTAAGCCGTCATAACAAGCTTTTAAGCTTAAGAAATGATGAATCGATTAGAAAATATTATGTTCATTTAAAGGGCCCTGCAAATTTCTTCAAGTAGCTATGGAATGGAATCACTAAACAAGCTTATTGCCTCACGCAATCATCGTTACAAAATTTTTTAGAAACCTGTCTAGTACAAGCAAAGTTGTAAATATTTATCACATGCTGGAATTTCATTCTCTCTTCTCGTCCCGGCAAAAGCGTTGGAAGCTAAGCAGGGAGGGACGGCAGGGGAAAAGAAAATATGCCACGCCTGCCTCGCAACACTTGAGCACTTTTTTTTTAATACGCGGCTTTTCAGTGGGATTGTGCATGTGCGCATGTACAAGTAGCGGCCTCTCACGGTGGCCCCAGTAACGACCGAGCGCCTTACGGTCAACTCAGCCAATAGCCAATACAACGGCTCTCGCAGGTTATTTTTGAGCTTGTGGCGTCATATGCCCAGAGAAGAGAGCAGTTTTTAGGAGACTGAGAATTTACTGTGAATCGCAGGCACCGTGCTGCGCTATATTATTTGGCTTGCGTGTTCTCGGTAGCCTCTACCGCCGATCTGCAGCATTTCCTGAAGGTGGGGAGTGGGTTCATTATATGAGCAAATACGGTACACACTTATGCCACTGTGCTTGCTCTTAACCCCTCCCCCACACTGCCATGCACACGCATGCCCTAACAGGCCTTAAGAATGCTCAAACAAAGAATTATTTGCTTGCTAGTCACCACTTGCTAGTTGTGGGGGAGGGGCTTGCCACGTCCGAGTCCCATGAGCCTCATCCGAGCTTGAATCTCTGCCTCAGCCTCTTCCTCTGTCTTCTGCTGAGCTCCTGTGGAAAATGTAAAGGCGCATTAGGTTTAATTCCCTTGCCGCACCTGCAATTTTCGAATAATGGGTGCAATGCTCTATCAACTGAGCTACAGTGGCGGTCATCCTGCCCATCAACTTTAGGGGTTATATATGTGCAGTTAGCCCCTTCTCTTACGCACTCTCCGCAAGCCGTTCCCGCCTATTATTCAGCAAGGAAAAATTTGCGGTACAAGTTCATGCGTATAAATTGCAAGAAAATCCGCAAAAAAATGTTTTAGAGTAAAAATTCTTGTTTCAATCTGTTCGAAATGCTTCACTGCATCTACTGTTTCAGTACAATTTTCGTGTGTGAAAACTATGAAGCACACAGGCATGTGAAGAGCACTTTTGCATTTCGTGCACTGCCATTGGCTCTCAGACTTTTTCCAGGTGTCCTGAAAACGAAGTACAATTTTGAAGAGTTTGACTTTACTTTGTTTGGCAGGATCTGATGAGGAAAATGAGCCCACTCGGTGGCTTGTTGGTGCATTGACGAGGCTGCGAGAGACGGGCTTTTGAGCGACGCCATGTGCCAGAAAAGCCGGGAACAAGCACCCTTCATCGCTAAAAAGACACACTCGCAGGTACAAATGCCTCGAACAATGGACAACAATGTCGATCTAGCACATAACATGCCAAGCAAATGGCAAACAGAATACTGTGCTGCCATATATACAGTCGACTCTTGTTAATTCAAACTTTAAGGGACCTCTGAATTTCGTTTGAATTATCAGCAGTTCTCAGATATATGGCTGTAGGTGAGGTGAGACCACACATTACGTTTAGGCATTGATTTATCACATTTAAAAATTTTTTAGGCATTTTTAAAGCCTAAGTGCACACAATAAACAGAACACAGAAGTGAAAGGCCCACAAGTTTATCAGCCATTTACTGCTGATCGGACCTCTCAAAGAAATCGTGAATTACCAACTGCTTCTTTCCTATATGTGCCTTCAGCACGAAGATTTCTATATCAGTTGAGAAGCATCACTGTTTACCATGCGTGTGCTTTGTTTCAAACATAAGTTTACAAGCAAAGCCTTTTTCCTTGAAAGCCTGAGATGCTTATTTTTCATTTTTTCGACTGTTAGGATCATATAAGCAAACAAAATTTTAAATAGTAGTGGGAAAGCAGCAGATATTTTCTGGTGTGGAATCACAGAAAGTATGAATCAACCGAATGATGGGGTTTAAATTAAATGGCTTTTAAATGCATTGATGAATAGAGTGCCAGCCAAAAAATTGAATTTTGTTTGAATTAACCACAAGTATGAATTATCACAGTTTGAATTATCACGAGTCTACCGTATGAAACAATATAAAAAATAAACATTTTCTAGGCAGCCAGCGACTCGCAAGTCAAAACGCTTTTGGCCTTGCCAACCAGGCCGCCGGCCACAGAAGCCAATAGGTTAAACATGGAAATGTGAGACAGCTAGGCTAGCAGCCCCAACTGCGAGTGTTTAACATTTGCCTACTATTGGCATCATGTGTCTAACAAAAAAAAAGAAGCCCTTATAGGAACCGTGACATGGTTTCGTGGGGTTTTGTTAGCGTTGAGGATAGAGCATCACCAAGCCATTTGCACTACAAATTTCCCAACTCTCTGGCTATGAAGGCTGCTACGGACAACTATATCATACCCTCCTGCTCACTCCTGCGACTCCTTAGATATGTTGGCATTGCAGGCAATTGCACAGCTCTCATCAGCGCACTGGACAATTTGAGCTTCGCCCAGTCCAAACCTCAGAGACTGCACATAGACAGGTTGCACGCTGCCTGGCAACAGCGACAATCACAACCTAACATTCCACAGATTGGCATGCTCGATGACATGTCACGATAGCATATCGCTCTGTGTATGGATGGTAGAAAATGAGTATGGCTGTGTTGCAGCAATTCACAGCTTTGAAGCACTGTAGTATAAATTACTTATTTTACACAGAGAGCTTAAGTCTGTCTGTAAATGACCATTAGGACTTGAACTACCGGTACAATGTGTTTGTACAAAATCTTTGAAACCATTTCAGGGTCCCTTTAAATTTCCATTCCTTTCATTCATCCACAGCAAGAGCCTCGTTCTGGCAGAGTGGATGTCTTCAGGTAGTATACGAGGGATTACTGTTTGTTTGCCGGTTCATACGATCGCGTGCTACTTGGTGCCAACAGACAGAAAAAAAAAAAAAAAAAGAACTCATTGTTAAATTATTGTGCACTGCTTAAAAGACGAACACTTAGGATGAAGCACTAGACGGACACAAGCGTCAACTTTCAACCTGGTTTACTAGACAACGAATAACAACAAATAGCTCCCAACTCGCCGAAGCAAGAACCCTTGTCAGAAAATGACTGCCAGGAATGCACGAAACGCGCAGCACAGTCGCAGCAAATGCTGAAAGAGCGGTCTTTCAGAGCATTTTTTAAACACCCTTTCGGTAAGTGCCACAAGCACACTTGCAGGGTACCTATCCAATACGCCATAAACAATGACAATTTACCTAGTAGGCAGCCATTCACTATTCCAATCTTAGTCATTCTTGGAAGAAGCATGGTATCCGCTACACACTTGCAAGGACTTTTGTGAAACTTTTTTATGCAGTGGCTGACGAAGAATTATGCGAATTGTATAACGACCCACTCAATAAATTCACATCGTGTGACGACGGGTTGTTCCTTTGTTCTAAAATGTTTTAGTATTCGCGGTCACGGCTTCTGGCAGCGCTCACTCGCACTCACCCATTAAAGTGCACGTGTGTTCAAAAGTGGAAAGACTGCCATTGTAGCTAAGTTGGCAGAGCATCAAATGCATTTTTCCAAGGTCGCAGGCTCGCTCCCTGCCAGCAGCAAGTTATTTTTACTTGGGGACCTTCGACGAAAAAATTTTGGTATGTCTGTCTGTACATTTGTCTGTTTGTCCGCCCTAACTATATCTCAAACTGCACCAAACGGCCAACCCCACCCTCAGCGCCCACATATATTGCTCAGGTTTAGTGTTCATAGTTGTGCGATTGTCAATTAAAAAGCAATTATTGCGTATATCTGAGGCGCCATAACAACACTTCAAAGTTTTTTATGTCTGCCTTTATACTAGAAGAGGCACACACAAGTAACTCTAAAGAATGTAGCATTTAATCGCGCTGTGCTGACAGTGCAACGCGATGCTCAAAAAGGTGTTTCTAACGCTTTGCTATGAAGTTACGGTGGTGGCACCTGCCCGTTGCTTTGAGTTCTACACCTTATCACCTCCAAGACTGGCGCGCATCTTTCTCCGCGGGCTGCACGCCTTCGTTTTCGAAGATAACTGCCAGATGGCATTTGTGTCTAACGTGCCTAGATGCGCTCGTTCGCCTCCGCCGCACGCTCTAGGCACTCTAACGCAGCGCCTGCAGAATACCATTCACCAATTTTCTTGCACAGAACATTAAATAAACGTTTTGTTCACTCTCTCCAGATGCACGACTATCGTCTTTCGACGACATTTACAGTGTAACATGTAATTCGGGCCAATTTTTTTTCATCCATTTCTCCACATTTACATTACAATTGCTTCCTATAGTGTCCCCTACACTTTCCTTGGCAATGGAGGCTTTCGACTTCAGCTGCCCATTGGTGTGAGACTTCCACATTCTTTTCTGCCAATGACCAGTATATAAGATGAGGGTTGACTTTTCATTGCATTTTTTAAATTCGACCTATATAGCGCTTTTTTATGATAGGCATTAGGATATTACTTTTTTTTAGATTGTCTGCATTTTTTCGTACATCTTTCCTCAATACACTGGGCAGAGAAAAATAGGCCGCAACTTAAGCATAGATTATGCTACTGAAGGCAGACAAAAACCTACCACCATTCATGCCTATAATTACCATGACAGCTGGTATGCCACAACTGACAAAGCATTTCTGTTTTGAAGTAACCTGAAAAAAATATATATATCATACGTCTCGGCCACATTTTTGATGCATCAACCATCCCCCTCCACAAGGACGACACACTCACTAGCTTTGGCAGCAGCTGCAGAAGCATAACCACGGCCCAGTCCCATGTGGTAGACTTTGCTCTTGAACTGCCGGTCAGATTCGTCCTCACTGTCACTCTCGTCAGCAGCCACTGCAGCTGGCATAACAGAGCAGAGAAAAGATAAATTACACTTGGATCACTGAGCAGAATTTGAGAGACATCTACATAAAATGGACAAGAAGACTAGAAAAAATTAAAGAACATCGGCCCTTTCCCACAGCGGCAACGCGGAACTATAAAGTTTATTCATACAACATGATAATACTAGGCCCATGCAATGTGTGTTCTTTGGATACTAATAAATATTAGAGTATTAGATTTTTTTTGAACTGATTTTAAAATTTTATAAATTTTAAAGTATGTGTTCAAAACTGATAAACCCCTTTTATATAACCTGCCAAGAAAGGTGGTTCGACAACGCAAGTCCCCGATGCTATAAAACCACACGTGCAGTGGAAATGTGCGCTGCTGAAAGGCAACATTTCAAAGTGATCAATTACTTGCAACCAAGTTTAGTTTCGAAACAGCCTATTTAAATCTACGCTTTTGCATCATCAATTTTGGCATGCTAAATTTGTTTCTAGTGCACCCAGTACTTTCTAGTAGTTAGTCCAGCCACTCGGCTTTCAGAATAAATTTGAATTTATCCGTTTCTGAAACATGGCGATTTTTTACAGACCTTTGCGCGAATGTATGTGCCTGTATTGTTCGAAAAATGCACTAGGCTGGCGAACATGACAGAAGTGCGTGCCCCTCATGATTGTGCTACAGTAACATGGAAGTTGTGCATTGAAAAGAACATTTGCAAGCCTAATATCGAACTAAAATGTCAGCTTTGCAATTTGACTATAATGAGCAGTAATGATGGCCAGAAATTTATGTCATATATTCAACAGAAAGCTGTTCCCAGGAGTCGGAAAAAAATTTGTTCTACAAAAATATTCGCGAAGGTCCACTTCATGTTTACACTGCATGTTTAAAGTGTTCAGGTGGCCTTCTATGACAGTTTCCAACAGCTTTGGGTTTGCTTGCATCGTTATATCAGACACAGCATACCACAGCGCCAAGTTCAAGGATTCTGAATCCGGGAGATTTCCACAACGGGTGAGAAGGAAGGGTACAAAAAAAAACAAAGACATACAAACAAAAAAACAGCGAAAAACAAAAGGCGGTGGGAGGAGGGTCTCAATCGCAAGCACCAACATCACCGTTGCTGTCTTATAGTGGCTAGGAGAGGCAGAACACACGAGGGTAGAAGTTTTCACTAAGGGGAGAGTCTCGAAGGATCAACTCAACTAGCAGAATCTATTTCAGTCAAAACAACTCGCGTGTGCCTTCCAGAGACACACTTGAACGGACGGGACGGCACAGCTGGCTGCCGTAAAAGCACGGGTCAAAGCTTTGCTCAATACCAGAAAAAGGTGGTTCGACAGCAACGCAAGTCTCCAATGCAATAAAACCACACGTGCAGTGGAAATATGCACTGCTGAAAGGCAAAAACAGGAATGACAGGAATGCCAAAACGCGTCTGGCCCCTTTTTTATTGCGATAGCAATTATATGGACAAACCAGGCTGTTTTTTTGCCGTCGCGATCGCCGTCGTCCTTCACAGTATATCAATATATATATATGAACACTCAAAGAAAAAAAGCCGCCCGCGCTCCGCGCCGAGTTTACCGCCATGCACGGACATGTGCTTATCTCCCCCTGTGTACTTTGTCCCATGGATGGATGTCTGTCCGTGCGCGCTTATCCTTTGGTGGGGAAATCGTGTGCCTTCGGCTTTCACTGAAACGAAAGTGTTATTTGCCAGCCTCACAAAATCCGTTTTGGTCTCTGCACAGGCCCCTTTCACGAAAAGAGCCCGATTTTCATACACTGCGAGGTATAACAACTGGGACACTTGTTAGTTTGTACTCATCGGTACCTGTGATTACGTATGGTGCATCGTTCTAGTATTAAACAGCGCCTTACGTGTCGAGCGGTATACGTTGTTAGTTACGATACTCTCCTCCTGCGAGTATCATTTTCGTCCACTTTTTGTGTGAGCAGCCTTTTTATTTCTTGCGTATTTACTGCCTTTAACCTACCACTGCGTGCCCTCGGAGCTCGTAGATCGCTATCGCGTCGCCGCGACTGCAGTTATGTGCGCGGCAGTTGCGGCAAACCGTAGTTCGTTTTACAATCCCCATGCGCTTGGTTGCGCACGCGGTTTCAAAACTAAGTCCTTTTATGCCACCTTTGATAGCATCTGCCGCAGTTTTGTCCGCAGAGTTTGCAAAAAGCAGCGTTGCTTTGACTGGTTGAGCGCACACTTTCGGGATTCTGTCAGTTACGCCGTTGCTATACATAATCGTGTAAAGAGCGACCGCAATTTCGTCCACAGCGGTTGTGGCAACGACAATAACACTTACTGTAGAAGACAGTGCGTGCGCCGGTCGCACACATACTTTCGAAGCTCCGAGTACGCTGCTCTCAGTCTTCGTTCGACGGTGATATGAAATCTAGTAAAATTTAGTAAATTTAGTGAAATTTCATATCACCCGCCGCGATTAGGAAATAAAGTAGGAACATTTGAATTGAGGCCCAATGAATATAGGAACGAATATATAGGAATATATAGGAATGAATATAGGATGTATGCACTAAGGGACAAAGAAGGCAAAATAACTACCAATATGGTTAGGATAGTTAAAATAGCGGAGGAGTTTTACAGAGATCTGTACAGTAGCCGAGACAACCACGACCTTAATACTACAAGTACTAGCAGTAACCCAGATGAGACCCCACCAGTAATGATAGAAGTCAGAAAAGCTTTGGAGAGCATGCAAAGAGGCAAAGCTGCTGGTGAGGATCAGGTAACATCAGATCTGCTGAAAGATGGAGGACAGATTGTGTTAGAATAACTAGCCACCCTGTTTATGAGGTGTCTCCTGACGGGAAGGGTACCAGAGTCTTGGAAGAACGCTAACATCATCTTAATACATAAGAAAGGAGATGACAAGGACTTGAAGAATTACAGGCCGATCAGCTTGCTCTCTGTAGTATACAAGCTATTTACAAAGGTAATTGCTAACAGAGTAAAGAAAACATTAGAATTCAATCAACCAAAGGAACAAGCAGGATTTCGACCAGGCTACTCAACAATTGACCACATTCATACTATCAACCAGGTAATAGAGAAATGCTCAGAGTATAACCAACGACTATACATAGCCTTCATAGATTACGAGAAGACGTTTGATTCAGTAGAAATATCAGCCGTCATGCAGACACTGCGGAATCAGGGCATAGATGAAGTATATATAAACATTCTGGAAGAAATCTACAGGGGATCAACTGCTACCATAGTGCTTCATAAAGAAAGCAGCAGAATACCAATCAAGAAGGGTGTAAGGCAGGGGGACACAATCTCCCCAATGGGAACAGTTAGGGATAAGAGTTAATGGAGAATACCTTAGTAACCTGCGCTTCGCCGATGACATTGCATTGCTGAGTAACTCAGGGGACGAATTGCAACTCATGATTACGGAGTTAGACAAGGAGAGAAGAAAGGTGGGTCTTAAAATTAATCTGCAGAAAACGAAAGTAATGTACAACAACCTCGGAAAGGAGCAGCGCTTCGAGATATGTGATAGTGCACCTGAAGTTGTAAAAGACTATGTCTACTTAGGGCAGGTAATAACCGCAGAGCCGAACCACGAGATTGAAGTAACTAGAAGAATAAGAATGGGGTGGAGCACATTCGGCAAGCACTCTCAAATTATGACAGGTAGATTGCCACTATCCCTCAAAAGGAAGGTATATAACAGCTGTATCTTGCCGGTACTTAGCTACGGAGCAGAAACCTGGAGACTTACAAAGAGGGTTCAGCTTAAATTGAGGACGACGCAGCGAGCAATGGAAAGAAAAATGGTAGGTGTAACCTTAAGAGTCGAGAAGAGAGCAGAGTGGATTAGGGAACAAACGGGGGTTAAAGATATAGTTGAAATAACGAAGAGGAAATGGGCCTGGGCCGGGCATGTAGCGCGTAGACAGGCTAACCACTGGTCATTAAGGGTAACTAACTGGATTACCAGAGAAGGGAAGCGGGTTAGGGGGAGACAGAAGGTTAGGTGGGCAGATGAGATTAAGAAGTTTGCTGGTATAAATTGGCAGCAGCAAGCACAGGACCGGGTTAACTGGCAGAACATGGGAGAGGCCTTTGTCCTGCAGTGGACGTAGTCAGGCTGATGATGATGATGATGAATATAGGAAAATTTGGCTGGCAAATTTCAAGAATTCGTATCTGCCACAGTTTTGCATCACTGAAATTATACTGTACGTTTACATGAACGCCTCTTATACTCATGTATAATAAAACGGGGTAGGTTCGAAAAGCCTGGAGCGGATCGAGCTGTTTTTTTGTCAATGCAGCCAGATCACACACAGATATTTCGATTTCCGTAAGATTTTCATGACAACCGTACAAACGGAAAAAAAAGGTGAAAATACGGGAGTCTCCCGGCCAATCCCGAAGACTTGTCAGGTATGGACATAATTCGCATCTAGTGTCATTACAGGTTTTCCCTCTCACTTTAATCCAAGTGCCACCTTGAATAATCTGCCCGCCATAGAAATAATCTGAGTGCCGAGCTATTTAATCCTTGTGGCAAACATTTAATCCAAGCGCCAACATATTTAGTCCAAGCGCCAACTCACTCACGCCGCGTGCCATTGAGCTTAATCCAAGTGCCACCGTGGTTAATTTAATTGCCAATGACATTAATTCAGGTGCCAGTCAGTTTAATCCACGCACAAAAACCAGAATACGGGACGTAAAAACGGCAGTGCAATTGAAATGCACTTCCTACAGTATAAAAGACAATAGTCGGAAGGTAGAATCAATCATAATTATTTGTATTCGCCGATAGTATTCTTGAAAAAAATTACTGCCGTGGTTCGGTTAAGCCATGTTTGAAGTGCTTATACTTTGCTATGCGCAAGTTTGTATAATGAGTGCTTGGCTCAGGTGAAATAAATTTATTGAAAACGAAAAAAACGGAGGAACATATTACTGAATATTTTACAGTGCAATGAAATTCAGTATCCGTCAC